GGCCTGAGAATCTGAGAGTTTGATTTTGGAGGAGACAGGGAGAGGGAAGTGGTTCTCCTCTGGGGAAATGCTCGACAAGGCAGGGATGCCCAGAAGGGCGAAGGCAGCCTGCTACCGCCCCTGCAACCGCCACATGAGACCCAGGGCTTTTCTGGCCAAAGGCCATGGTGGCAGTGGGGATTAGAGAGCTGAAAGTAGACACAGAGTGGCCTTTAAAGCAATCGGCAGAGATAAAAGCAGAACACAGTGCAGGCTGGGGTCCTCACTGTACAAACAGCAAATGCTTCCCAGCCAGCTGAAACTCAGACACTAGGGCACAGCTAAGGACACTGGGGATGTGGTTCCTCCCCTGTGGCTCCAGTCCACCAGAGTGGCTCCTAACCAGTTGGCATTGGCCTCAGCCTCCACACAAGGCAGATCTAGGACTATCTGAATCCACAGGATAATTGGCTGCAACTTGAAAATAGGCAGAATCAACAAACTCCAGCTCAAGTGGGGATTTGTCCAGATGATCTGCTTTCTATTTTACTCCACAGCACAAGTTCCAAAGCCCATGGTTTCAAAAAGACCTCCTAGGGCCTTTCACGGTGTTCCCCAAGCTTATGCAAACTGGGCATCTCCATTTTCCGGCCTGGGGTGCTGACCTCCTAGGGGCTAGAAGGGTCCTTGGGGTTTCCTGGTGTTTGGATGCAGTGGGGTCCCAGTGTGGTCTCAGCCTGGCTAGGAGTGCCCAGCGAGGCCTGTAACTGGCTGCAGGAGCAGCGCTGTGCCTGCACGGGGGCTTGGTGGGGACACGTGGCCTGAGTGCCCACAGGCAGGACAGAAAATGGGATGTTTGACCTTGCTTCCCTGCCGTGTCAACGTGTGCTGGAGGCTGCTGAAGCCTCCCGGGTTCACACCTCACAGAGGAAAGGAAGCGGGAGCAGGAGAAAGAGATGGAGCAGGTTAGCAACAGGGCAGAGCCGGATGTCGGAGGACGTGGGTGGGCTGACAGCCAGCCCTGCCACTTACTAGTTCTATGACCTTGATCCATAGGTTCAGCGCTCCTAGGCCTAGGTTCCTCATCCATGAAACAGGATTATAGTGGATCCTACCTCACAGTCTTGGAAGGACCAAATGAGATCAAGTTTACATGAATTTTTAGTTATACCTCTAATAGGACTGTCACCTCCTGCCCTTGACCGTGCTTGGCTGTCACTCTCTTTGGTCCATCAGGTTGAGAAATGGCTGCTGCACTGCGGAAGTTAACTGAAGCATGCAGAACAGCACTTGACTGTCGGCTCGGGACTCGGGACTCTACTGCACACACCATATTGACTCATCAGCAACCCCGCCAGAATGCATGCTCCCTGAGGACATGGCCTTCGCCTCCTGCTTCCTTGGTAGGTGGTGCATTTGGATCCTAAACTCCTTTGCAGAGATGGTGGGATGTTCTGTGTGGTCTCATTATGCCAGCTGCAGCCTGGGTGCATTCAAATCAGTAACAGCCACCCCACTCCACTCCCTCCGACGTCTCACAGCAGAAAGTGTCTGCTCCAGATACAGCAGGGGCAGGCACTTCAGCGTCTATCTCTGGTCAGCAATGGGCATTTGACGATTAGCAAGGTAAACATTAGAAATGCGTTCTCATTGGTGAAGACAGAGGTATTCAAGATATGTGGGTTGGCTAAATGGATTCAGAGACACTCTTGACTCAGGAAAGAGCCGGTGAAAGAATCCATGAGAGCTCCAGGGAGGTGTGGTCAGGGCAGCAGAGAGCAGATTGCTGGGCTTCCCCGAGGCCACGGGACAGACTGTACAGACTCCACTGGGCCTATGTGCAGTAAATATTTGTCTAAAAATGTGTACCTGTGCGGCAGAATTTGTTCTGAGGCTGCTTTCATTCAAACTTGATAATGAGGCTGTCTTCACCTTCCCCCAAGTTTCCTGTGGCTGCTATCAAACAAACTTAACAGCAGCAGCCGCAGGTTTTTGGTTAAAGCTGGGAGGTGCCTGTGTGACCCAAGGGACTTAGGTCAGTTCACGCCTGGCATGGAACCTCCATGGTGAAGTGTGTGGAGAGGATCACAGGACAAGGGAGGTAGTGACACTTTCAACTTGATGGTGGACAGTGGGGGCTGGGCCCCTAAGGCAAGAACCCTCATCCAGAACCTTCCTGGGTGGCCACCACCTGGCGCATGCGTAGGGTCCTTAGCTGCTCGGGGCTGCTGTGCCCACCCGGCTCGCAGAGCCTTGGCTGGCTTCCTGGAATGAGGAAATGCTGCCCAGCCTTTGGGAAGCCCTGGAACTGTCGCCAGGGTGCAGGTCACTGTCTAGGCTCTTTCCATACCTGCCACTTGACCTGGGAAATGGGCTCTGACCTGGGCCTGTCCCTCTAGGTCCCAAGGGACAAGCCCTGCAAGGGAGCACTTGGGCGTGCACTGCCAGCTTCCACCTTTCGATCGGGAGGCCCTGGAAGGAACTTCCGGCCACACTGAAGAAATGGGGGCTCGGTCTCTGCCCCCAGCGGGAAAAGGTGAACCCCTACTCCCTGCAAGTCTCTGCAAAGGCCGGTGGGGAGGAGGATCACACTGGCAGGCCCCCTAGGGACCCTTTGGAAATTCCTCAGTGAAGGGAGGGGGAGCAAGGCCACCCCTTACTAGAGATGACAACTCAGGGGGAGCTACTGTGGGCTGAGGCCACGTAGCAGGACCCTGATGTGGGAAGGAGGCTGACGCTAGACAGCTGCCGCTAGAGAAGAGAGGCCCCCTTGGTGGCTGTGCCCACAGGGAGATGGGGCTACGGCTCAGCATGGTCCTTCTCTCGAGAGTGGCTGATGGATGAGATTTGATGCTGTCTTATAGAGCTGAGCAGGCAGGCAGTGCCCAGGAGGAAAGGCGGTGATGTGGGAGCAATCTCCTCTCACTGCGCTGCTCGCCTTCTCTCTCCATGCTTGTCCTTCCTCTCCAACACTTCTCAAGAGGGAAGTGGTAGGGGGTCAGGGAGGGGAAGAGCTGGCGCCTTTAATGGACAGGGCAAGGGACCTAACCAGGGAAAAGCTGAGGCCTGCAGCCTTCCCGACTCATCCTGGCAACAGGGCCCTCAGTGGCAGCTCAGACTCTACAAGTGATTGCAGAGCCAGTGAGGCTCACCTGCCACCCTCTTCTAAACTCGGTTCCCACCTGTCCCATCGTTCCTGCTCCCCACCTCCCCCTGCCTGCCTTGTAGCCCATCCTCAGCCCTTCAAGGTCTGTTTCAGTCTGTGCCTTTCCTTTCTGTCTCCACATGACAATCCAAGTCTCGGGGTGCATTTGTCTAGTAAGAGCCATCCAGGCTAATCCTAAGGGATTTCTAGTTAGTGGCACATGAGTGCTCACCGAACCGGGGAAACCAGGGGCAAAGTGCTCGGTTATCATTCATCTTCTGCCTTTGCAAGCAGCTCAAGTCCCTTAGGTTAGCACAGCTCCCAAAGGGTTCTGGGAATTCCAGGAGCTCCTGTAGGGCCAAGGGGGTTTTCTGCCAGCAAGATTTGCCTAGAGAACGCAGGCAGCCAGGGTGTGAGAAGCCTAGCGAGTAGTTTCTTCCTCATTGGCCTGGGGCTCTGTGGCTCTCTCTCAGCAAATAGTTAGGCAAGGCCTTAATTTATTTCCCTGCCAGAGTCCCTCTTGGAGGGGGGCCAAGCTAGTAGACAGGAAGGCGGGGACTGGCAATTTAGTGGAAATCCAAGCATGTAATTGGGAGGACCAAAAGAACAGGAGCAAGTGCGCAGGGAGTCTGGGGACTCTGGGCAGGCAAGGAGGAGGACAGGGTGTGGGGGAGCAACCCTTTCTTCTGCTTTAGATGAGAAGAATTGAGGCTGGCCAGACCCGGTGGCACAGCCTTGCAAGCTTCTGATAGAAGAAATGGCTTTCCCGGCTCCACAGGGTTCCCCGAGCTGGCAGGGGACCTTCTCAGGTCGTGAGATGAGCCCCTCTGCACAGTTCTCATTTATTCTGGGTGTCAGTGGTTTCTGCCCCTCTCTGGGCCTCAGGGGCCTCGGATTTCCTAAAGCAGACCTCCTTTGAGAGCACTGTCCCAGGAGTCAGGCATGTGGGCTGACTATCTCTGCTCCCTCAACAGGTGTGGGAGCCACTTCTGAGTCCCATTGGCAAAACACGCATAATAGGGCAATGGGGAGGATGGAGTGACCAAGGGATGGAGGGGTTTCCAAGTCGTGCACTATCCATAAATATACTCAAGACAGAAGAGCTGTCATCTTTATCCAGTCCAAGCACAGCCCATGGCTGCTTTCCAAACTCCCTAAAAACACGCAGCAGAAGTTCCTATCCTGCCGACGCGCTCAGGCGACAGGCGCCACCGCACCTCTGCTTTCCCGACTTTGAACACACTCTCCAATCTCCATCCTGAGCTTAGTAGGGGGCAGGACTGTGTCTACGTGTCAATGGGAAGCTGCTTTGGAGCACGTGTCCCTTGGGGAAAACCCTGTGGATGGGGACCTGGTTTCCTCTTCTGGGATTCTCCAGCAATGATGGGGGAGTTTGTGGAAGCTTGACTTGGGAGAACCTGTGCTTGCAGGGATAAGGCAGTGGCCAATTCCCAACCTATAGCCAATCCTCCTTCCAGATCTTCCCAGGAGGTGGTCCCAGTCCTCAGAATTCCCTCCAAGCCCCACCGGCAATAAAAACCAGGTAGTAAGGGGTTTGCGAAACAGCAATACATCCCACCCCTTGTGGTCTGTGGTCCTGTGTCTCGGCGACTCTGGGTGCCCAGCTTCACGGCTGAGCTGCTCATTCCCGGGGGCCCACTGGGCTGTGCCCTTCCCTCGGGTTACATTGGCTTGGGTCCTTAGAGCGCCCTTGGGCCCAGGTGCCCTGGGCCACTTCTCCTGAGTTAGGGACTGAATTCGCGAGGACAGAAACTTCCATCTCACCAAGACTGAAGACAGGAGCCAGGCTGGGCTTGGAGGTCACCAGCCACCTGGGAGTGGACCCGGGGAGGCTGAGTGGGGCCCTCCCGCTCAGATGGCAGACCCCAACCCTCCACCCAGAATCCGAGCCCGGACAGGGCCAGCAGGGAACAGGGAGATGAGTCCAGCCCTGGCTGCCGGCTCCGCGGGGAGGGCAGCGAGCCCGCAGGAGCGGGAGCGCATGACCGGCGTCTCCCGGGGGCGGTGGGCGCGCGTCCCCTCCGGGGCGCCCGGGGATCGGGCTGCTCCGCGCCACTGCTCGCGCTGCAGACCCGCGACGCCCCAGCCCCTGCCCAGCCCGCGCCGCCCGCCGCGGCCACACCTCCCAGCCCCTGGGAAAGTCCCCGCCGCCGGCGCGAACCCACCTTCGGGGCGCCCAGGGGCCCTGCTGGGGACTCTCCGGGGTCCCCGCCGCCTCCTCCTGCGCGGGTCCCCGCTGCCCGGCTCCGGCCCGGCCCCAGCTCGGCGCTCCCGCCTCGCCTCCCCAGCTCCGGCGAATCCTCCGCGCCGCTCCTCTCGCTCCTTTCGGAGGGGACGTTTTTTCCCCGCGTTGCGTCAGGGCCGTTGCCTGGCGACCGCCGAGCTCTCAGCCGCGAGCCCTTCTCCGCGGTCCCGGCCTCGCTTCTCGCCCCGGGTCCGAGCGCGCCCCGGGTCCTAGCGCCCTGCCGGTTCCCCTGCCCGAGCGGCCCTCGCCAGTGGAGACGAACTGCACACGCCTTCGCCAAACCCCAAATGAAACCAAACCCAAACATCCATTTTCTCATTAAACCCGAAACCAAGGCAGTTTTCCCCCAGTCGTGGCAACGTGGCTGCGCCACTGTCAGCAGTCTGTCCACGTGGAGGAGGCAGGGGAACCCCACGCCCACGGCCTCGCCCACCCACACACGGCTGGAGTTGACAGGCCCCGCGACCACAACTGCTCCCGAGCGCCCACCGTGGGCCACACCCCCCGACGACCCAGCAGGGCAGGTAGGTATGGGCATCTCTGGCTGCCAGATGAGGAAACCGAGGCGCAGAGACCCGAGCGTTTGCCCCACTAACCACAGGGTGTCCCGCCTCGGCCACCTCCGGCTGTTACTGGGTTCTAAGACCCAGTCCCTGCTTCATCAGGACCAGAGCTGCAAACCCGAAGGCACACGCAGGACAGCAGCCCGAACCGCCAGGTGGCAGGTCTTCAGGACCAGTCCCACATGCGGACGAGGGGCCCAGGCCAGACACCGGAGGCCCCAGGGCTGGTTACTGGATGAGGGGCCTCTTACCCCAGACCTCATCAAACACCTTTCCTAGATGCCCGGGGCTGGAAGCGTCTTTCAAAGCGCTCCCACCTGCCATTCTCACGACAGCCCTGGGCGTGCGTTCAGGCGCCGTCTACAGGAGCAGACACGAAGCTGAGCGGTGGGGCTGCAAAGTGACTGGGAGGGCTCCAGGCAGGCGCGCGGCTGGCCGGGCCTTCTGTGGGGCCTTAGCCCCTGCAGGTGCCCGAAACCCTCGTGCTGCCCTCTGGTGCCCGTGTCCTTTACTGCAACTCCGCATCCAGCCCTGACCTACTCCCTTTCTTTCTGACCTTCACTGGAAGGTTCTCTAAGGGACATGGTCTAAGGAGACCTCTAGCCAGCACAGACCTAATCATGCGAATGGGGCAAGGGTCCTAAGCTGACAGGTGTATTAACAGGCGTCTTTTGGGGAGTCACAGCGTTGATGCAGACCTTCTGATTCCAGCTCCTAAACATCTCTCCACTCCTTCCTCCTTCCTGCCCCCTGCCACTGTTCCTACCCAAGCCACCAGCAGCTCGCCCTACCCAGTTCTGGGACCTGCCACCCGGGTCCGAGCGCGCACGCAGTCTCCTCACTGATCTCCCTGTACCCACTCTCAGCGGCTCCCAAGCCAGTTACTCCACAACCAGTGGAAACTCTTAAGAATAGAAATCCAATCTCAGCTGCTGCTGCTTAAAGGCCTTCAACGCCCCCAGTCCCCTGGGGATTAATAGCTAGCTAGGCTATGGGGCACTGATTGGCCTCTGTCTGTCTCTAGGGCCTTTTGCATGGCCCCTGCTCCCCAGACAGATGCTCTTCCAGTCCCTCTGTGCACCTGCTCCACCCCATGGGCTGCTGCAGCTCCGCCTCCCAAGGGAACCCCAGGTTACAGGTGCTCACAGCCCCCCTACCTCTCCTTCATGGACTAGTTATAATTCCAAGTTTATTTGTGAGGTTATTTGATTAGTGTCTCTCTCCCTCCGAGTCAGTGGGCTCCGGGAGGGCAGGCAGCAGCCTCGATCCAGACTTGAGGACACAGCATCCTTCTGGGTGCTGGCTGTCCCTGACCACAGCGCTGGTGCTGAGCGCTGGGAGGCCGAGTTGCTCACTGCTGTGCCCACGGCCCTGGCACGTGGTGAATGCTCTAAGGTCTTTTTGGACAGGCCATTCAGCCCCATCTGGAAATGCTTTGTCCTACCTCCACCTCCTCGCTCTCTGTTTGGCCTGTGGCTTCTATTTCTGGGAGTGCAGATGCCTTCTCATGGGGGAAACTGTTGCATGTCTCAAATGGACAGGCAGCCTGTCCAGGGCAAGGATGGTGTCTTGCCCTGTGGCTACCGTTCTGCCTGGCATGTGCCTGTGGGCAGGACAGTGATCAGTGATAGGACCTGGAGGGGAGTGGGCCAGAGGAAGGAGGAAGGGGAGGAGGAAGAGCAGCCTTGGTTGGAATAGCCTCAACTCTAACATCAAACCATATGGCGTGGTCACGTAAGTGAGTCAGCACAGAATGGTATGTAGCCATAGAAATAATATTTTCGAAAACTGTTTGATCATAAAGAAAAATACTAATGATTTAATGCTAAGAAAATAAGACAGGGACACCAAATCTTGTGTACATTATGAAACTTCTCATTCGAATATCTAATTCATATGTATGCATGGAAAAGAGACTGGAAGAGTATACGCAAATATGAGCTGTGGTTACCTCCGGGCTCCAGGATAATGGAGGATTTCAATGTCTTCTGTAAGCCTGCATTTGTTTCCTACAGTGAATCGTTTTGTAATAAGGAACATCAAGAAACACTACTAAAAAGGAAAGATGGCACTGTGTTGGTCTTCCTGACGGTGCTGCCTTTTGTGTGAAGCACTCTGAGACCCATTGCTGGTTGGAGGATCTGGGTGGGCCAGAGAGAGCAGGGACACCTGGGGGCTCTGCCTTCCCCTCAGTTCCTTACAGAGCAGTTTCTTTTCAAAGTGCTGCATGATACATGAGACATTGCCTCTTGTAATCCTACAGGAAGCTGTGAAATAGATGAGTCAAGAAATATGCCCAGCTAGGCATGGTAGCTCACATCTGTAATCCCAGCACTTTGGAAGGCAGAGGCAGGAGGATTGCTTGAGCCCAGGAATTTGAGACCAGCTGGGACAACATGGTGAGATCCTGTCTCTACAAAAAAAAAAAAAGAAGAAGAAGAAAAAAAAAAAAAGCAAACTCAGCCTCAGCTGGGCATGATGGGATGGTACATGCCTGAAGTCCTAGCTACTTGGGAGGCTGAGATGGGAGGACTGCTTGAGCCCAGGAGTTGAAGGTTGCAGTCAGCCATGATTGTACCACTGTACTCCAGCCTGGTCAACAAAGCAAGAGACCCTGTCTCAAAATTTAAAAAGATCTAAACTTAAAGTATTATCTTTCAGAATTTCTTCCAATTCATGTATTCATCTATTCAGTAAATACATATTAGCACCACTAAATACCGGACACTGTTCTCAGCTCTTGGGAAATGTTAGTGAACAAGTTAGATGAAGGATCCTGCCCTTGAGAGCTGACAGTCTAGCAGAAGAAAGCAGGCAGGCGCTGACCAACAAATACACTAAGTAAATGAGCAATACTGTGAGTTATAGAAAGGTGGAACTGTAGACTTGGAAGTAATGGCAGAGGAGGGGCAAGGGTGGGCATGTTTTCAGGCAAGGTGGGCAGGGGCTGGCCTCGCTAATAAGGTGGTTTCCTAGCAAAGATTTGAGGGAGATGAGGGAGGGGGTCTTGTGGTGTCTCAGGGAAGGGTCTTCTAGGCAAAGGAACAGTCAGTGCAGAGGCCCTGGGCCAGCAAACGTGCCTGCCACAAGCAGGGGCCAGCACGGGTGCCTCGAGGCCAGAACACAGCAGGCAGGGAGTGGAGCAGGTGTGGGAGATGATGTCAGAGGCAGGCAGGGCGGGTGCTGGGGCAGAGCCTGTGGGCCTGGCAGACCCTGTGCGGACTGGCCTTCTCCCGAGCGGGCGCTCCGAATGCACAGCTGAACAGGGCTCTGCTCTCGGCTCTCTCGGGGCACAAAGGCCTCTCTAAATCAGTCCCTCCTGTTCCCTTTCCAGTTTGTAAGCTGCTAGAAGGTGATTCCTGGGTTCTGGGGATATGAGAGAAGAAAGGCTGACATTTCTGTTGGGCTCTGTAGGGCAGAGGACCCTAGGGTGGCGACATTCCTGCCCTGCTCCAGAGAGCAATAAAGACTCCCAGTTCGGGACAGGAGACCAACAGCCTCTGCCGTTTGCTTGTGGAAGGGACTTTTCCATCCCTGGGCCCAGGGTTTCAAGAGGAGCACGAAGTGACTGTCTTAGGCTCTCACTGCCCTCATGTCTCAGAAGAGGCTGCTTTGGGCTGAAGCTCAGAAGGGCAGTGAGGGCTGGCTTTCTGTCCTCTAGGGAAGTTGTTAGTTCCATTGAGGAGCGGCTGGCTCTGTGCCACCCGGAGGTAGACATGGGGGTGTGGCGCATACAGCTTCTTGGTAGAAAGATAATGAACAGAGCAGTCACCACACAGAGCACCCACCTTAGCGCTGGAGGAGGGAGGTGACAGATGCCACCTGAGCCTGGGTGAGGAGGAGGAGTGGACAGCAGCTGGGAGAGGCGCCCATCCTGAGGCAGTAGAGGGAACAGCATCTGGAAGGGCATGTGCGGAGGCTTCGTGCAGAGCAGGAGGCAGGTGAGCAGCTGAGGTGAGGAGCAGCATGTGCGGGGGGCACAGCTGCAGGGTTTGGCGCAGCTGCAAAGGCAGGGGCTGAGGAGGGAGCTCTCCTAGCTCAGAGGAGCTGAACAGGTGAGAGGTGGGGACAGGATGCCCAGGCAGAGGTTGTTTCCATGTTACTGACAGCTCAGGGTGATGGGGCCCCCTGCATGTCCCAGGCGATGATGACACTGGGGTGGCAATGGAGATAGTGACAGCAGGGACCCGGAGTCAGGCAGACCCCGGTCACATCCTAGCTCCTCTGGCGATTAGTATGTGCAGTGCGCAGTCACTGAAGTTTTCTGAGCTACAGTTACTTCATCAGTAAAATGGAAACTATTTTACTATTAACAGCACCATCTTGGTCCACGAGCAAGAGGGCTGCCTAGGCTGGATTTTAGAGAGCCCTGTCCTGTGCTTTCTCCAGGCAAAAATGGCTGGGGGCCAGGGGGTGCCCACTCAGAGTCCACCCCCTCCCTTCCATCCAGGACCCTGAGGACCCAGCACCCAGGGATCTCCTGCCCAGATGTGCCGCGTTCAAGCTTGTGTGGCCTCTTCCTGGTCTACGGGGTTTGGATGAAGCCTGGGTCTCAGGCTGGGCTGTTCCCCTGCCCAAGCACTGGGTGGGAAAAGTAAGAAGGAGCCACAGGTGGGGGCTGAGACTTCACTCCCACTTCCCTTCTATGTTCAAGGGTCCAAGGAAGCAAATCAGAGCCTTGCCTTTGAAGTTGTTGTTAAGGTATATTGGTCAAGGCGGGAGGAAAGAATGAAACCTATTTTCCAGTTGATTAATTGATTTATAACTTTCAAATATTTAGAGACTCGGCATGTGGACCTCCCGTTGTGCATTCGCTTTGGGCCTCTCAGATGGGACTGATTTGGGCCTTTCTTGCTGGTTTATTTAAGGAGCAAATGATGCAGCACACTGCACACAGACATGAGTGATCACCTTCTGAATCCCGCTCCTCTCCTTCATGCTGTCTTAGAGTTTGCAGAGTTTGCTGCTTTATCTTGTGAACACTTGTAAGATCGTCTTCTAGAAGATGCTGTGGGACGTGTTTCCAGGCCCAGCACCAGCACATCCTTGGTGACGCCTGGAAGGAGGCCTCCTGAACACGCACGGCACTTGCTTTTTGTGTTTGTTTTGTTTGAGACAAGACCTCTCTCTCTTGCCCAGGCTGGAGTGAAGTGGTGTGATCGTAGCTCACTGCAACCTCTGCCTCCTGGGTTCAAGTGATTCTTGCATGCACAGCATTTGAAGGGCACCAGAAATGTCAACACTAACAACAGCATAGCAGCGACCCTGATGGGCAGGGGAGAGTCTTCTAGACTTGATTCTAAGCAGTTATTTCACCCGGTGAGCCTGGATGCTTTGAGGAATGGAAAGAGCCCTGAGTGGGAGCTGGGTATCCAGGCTCCAGTGTGGGCTCTGTTACTAAAACCTGGAACTTTGTCACATCACTTCCTCCAGCTGGATGGTTTTCTTTTCACTAGAACAAGGGGTTCCAGCTCTGCCATCCTCTGATCCCTGATTCCATGACACTCTGCACCTGCTGAATGGACTCTATCCAGCTGGGCAGAGGCAGGAGGCAGGACCAGGAACTGTCAATTAAGGGGCTCTGGCGGTTACTAGAAATCAAGGCCAGCAAGAAAGAAGAAACAGGCTGGTGCCGAGACCGCGGTGAGAGCTAGCCCGGGACGCTCAGGCACAATGCGGCACCCCATCCTGGGGAAGAGCCGGCTTGAACTCAGGGTAATGTGGCCCTTGACCCGCAGGCAAGACCAGGGCGTCTAGGGCCTGCAGTAGAACACTGCCCCTTATGGAAGCCAGGTCAGGGAAGCCCAGTGGCTTCTCCAACTCAATAGCCCGTGGCAATGTCGGGGCTGCAGGAGAGAGGACATAGGAGCTCATTTCATCTCCACTGGTCAATCCCTGATGATACAGAGACACCTTGAGTAACCAAGGTGCACAGGACAGACTGGTGAACACTGGTGTCAGGAAAACTTGTTGCATACAGGGATGATCGTTCTGTCATCAGGAAAGCCGAGACAGGAGCACAGGCTTTAGAGGGAGGAGTGAGAGGAGCTGATGAAAGAGAAGGACCAGTTGCCACTCCCTGTAGGGGGGAGATCCCACAAGTGCCGAGGCAGGAGCCAAAAGCCTCCGCCTATTTCCATATAAATAACGAAGAAGAAAGTAACTAGAAATATAACTGTAGTAGTTATTAGTTATTCTTAGTTATTCATAGGCGATCCTATTTCTTTTACTAATGCCTCTCAGGTCATCAGGGTGAACCTGGGGTGACATTGTGAAATGAATGACTCTAAGGCAAGATGCTTTAAGCCCTCTGTCATACCCGCATAAGGGCTGCTGGAGGGTGCCTTGGCTGAGTGGCAGCGCCAGCACTGGGAAAGTGCCCGCTGTTTAGCCAGCTAGGGAAGGAGACGTTCAAAATAGCTGAGACGTCTCCTTCCTCAGAGGAGTTAGGAGAAAACTCCACTTCTCCAAGCTCTGGCAGCAGGCCTGATGCTGTCAGGTAGGCCTGCAGACATCTGGGGGCTTAACTGTCTCTATGTGATGCTGTGCTTCTGTGTCACGTTCCATGGCAATCTCATGACACGCTTCTGCACCTGGTTTCTTTTTTCTTGTAAGAATTAGTAAAAGTAACGTAAATCTTAATGTCTTTGTGACAAGTATAGAAAAAGTGCTGACTCATTATCCCCCTTACCTCATGTCGGCTACGGAAAATTCCTGAGCCTCTACCTGTTTGACCTGTGATGTACTTGACCCGATCACTGCCACACCCTCTGCCCCCAGTCGCCAACGACCAAGGCCACGCCTTACCTATGCCCTACCTTCCCTGCCCCGAGCTTTCGTACTCAATCAAAGTCAGAGTGTGCGGGCACTCGGGGCCACTGCCAGACTCCGAGCTTTGGTTGGCAGTGAACCCCAGGCCCAAACTCTCTTTTCTGCATCTCTGTGTCTTGTGTCTTTTATTTCTACAATTTCTCATCTCCACACCAGCAGGGAGGGGCTCACAGAACCCGGTAGGGCTGGACCCTATAACTCACCAGTGCTGGGAGGGATTCTGGGGGAAACGGGCCTTTGGCTCTTAATATTCAACCCCTTTTCAAGAATTGTACCCCGAGGAGATACTGGGAACAGAGCCTCCCTTATACGTAACTTCTCTCCTAAAATCAGCTCTAACCCACTGCCCCATAGATGTCCAAACAAAAGGGACCCACACAGTCATTCTCACCTCCATCCTGGCCGACAGGTGGGAGGCAGTGTATGCAGTGCGGGCGGTTCTATCCCCAGGTCTGCCCTTTGCTGTCAGGCTGCCTCAGGCTCCTTAGCCTCCTGAGCCTCAGCTTCCTCCTCTACACGTCGGTGGTACCAAGAGCTCCCATGA